CTGCGTGTGGATGCGCGCCGGGCTGATGCGGATGAGCGTCGGCCCCGGATCAGGGGCGTGTCGGGCGCGGGCGCTCATGACGGGGCTCAAGGGCGGCCGGCGTCTCTGCCCACCTCATGACGCAGGCAGGGCGCCCACGCCTTCACCACGCCCACCTCTTCCGCTTCGCCCGCTCTGCTGGAGGAGGAAAAGGGATCGATTAGCTTTTTGAAAAATTCTGTGATGATTTTTCTTCCGGTGGGGAGGGGGAAAGGGAGGGGATGAGGGGGGAGAGGGAAAAGGGAGGGGGGGAGGGGAGGGGGAGAGGGGGAGGGTGAGGGTGAGGGGTGTTAGTTTAAGGAAACTAAATGAAAGTGTGTTTTGCTGCTGTTCAAGTTGCAGTGTCGAAAACGATGTTGTCGGATTTGGCGAGTAAACACACGCGGAGTTTAAAACAGTGTTGTTCAAACTTTTTTTTCCATCACGGCTTGACTTGTTTTCATGCAATTAACTTCTGACCCGACTGTAATAATCTCTCTGTTTTGTTCGTTTTTTTTACCTAATTAATTCACTGATACATGCTCATTTTTATACATTTTTTGTGTATGTATTTTTTACATATCCACTTATTCATTACAGATCCGTACTGTAGTTTAAAAGCGCCTGTAGAGGGAACAAGAAGAAAGAAATAGATTATCAAGAATCGAAATAGAACGAGGAAGTGAGAGAGAGAAGGAAGACAAAAGAAATGATAATGAGAAGTAAAAAAAAAAAAAAAGAAAAAAAACAATTCTCACTCAACAACGAACCCCCTCCCCCACCCCACCCCACCCACCAACCCCATCCTCGCCCACTCCCACCCCACCCTCACGCCCACCCCCACCCCCGCCCCCCCTCAACCCATTCCTCTTCACGCTGCACGTCTTGCAACTGTAGAACTGGGCATCGAAGGCGGAGATCAATAACAACAAACAAGAGCGAGATTGTGAGAGTATCCCCTGAGAGCGACGCTGTACTAACACGGGTATCGAGGAATATTCAGATAATTATGGAATAAATAGATAACGAAAAACAATTTTGTACGAGGAAGGAAATCGTAGATTTTATCACAAATGATTTTTTTTTTTTTTTTAGGAAGGGATAGATGAATCGACAAAATCTGGAGAGAGATTATGGGGTTTATCGCAACGAGGCCAAGAAAAGAAAATGGCGGCGAGGGAGGGAGGAGGGGGGAGGGGAGGAGGAGGGCGGAAAATAACGGTTTTGGGAATTCAAATGTAACGTCATATTTTACAGCGCTGGCGAAGAGGAGCCAAGAGAGAAGGGGAATGATATTTGAATAGGACGAAGAGAAAAGATGGGAGAGAGAGAGAGAGGGTAATGTTGGGGGATTAAAGGATAGAAACTCGTTGAAAACAGAATGCTTTTAGACCGGTGTCTATTTTTGTGCGAAATGAACGTGAGGGAAATTGAGGAATATGTATATGGAAGGAAACAGAAAATAAGACTAAGAGAGGGGGAGGAGAGAGAGAGAGAGAGAGAGAGAGAGAGAGAGAGAAGAGAGAGGAGAGAGAGAGAGAGAGTGAGAGAGAACTGTGTGTGTGTGTGTGTGTGAGAGGAGAGAGAGAGAGAGATAGACTGTGTGTGTGTGTGTGTGTGTGTGTGTGTGTGAGAGAGAGAGAGAGAGAGAGAGAGAGAGAGAGAGAGAGAGAGAGAGAGAGAGAAGAGAGAGAGAGAGAGAGAGAAGAGAGAAGAGAGAGAGCAGACCGAGAGAGAAGGGGGAGAAAACAGACAGACAGACAGGAGAGAGGGAGTGTGTAGGAGTGAGGAAAATGAGAGAGAGAGAGAAAAAAAAAAAATAATGAAAAGAGAGTAAGAGAGACAGAAAACTATAAAAGAAAGTCCCTCGAAACACACACAAGGGTTCTCACTGAGACAGACCCCGTTAAACCGGCGTCATTTCTTGGCCTAATGTAATTCTAACGATCTGTGAATATGCTCAAGAAAGTTTAAGAAGGAACGTAAAAAAAAACAAATCACAGTGCAAGGACCACGAGATGCAGAATGAGACAAACATTAAAACTCGGAAGATAAACAATATAACAAACACGAATACGATTTGCGACCGAATCTAAAAGACTGATTGTTGAAAGACAAAACTTTTTTTTTCTAGTTTCTTTTTTCTGCTTTTTCCTCTTTTATTTCGGTTCTTTCCTGTTCTTTTTTTTTCTTTTATCGAAAAGTTTACTTAGTAGATCTCACACTGACGAGCAGTCCAATGGCATCTATAAAGTTCCACGAAGACAACTTTGGGGAATATTTTCGTCTGCTTGGAAAAGAGAAGGTGGAGGACGCAGGAGGAGGAGAGAGAGAGAGAGGAAAAGAGGGAGAGAGGGAGGGAAGAAGGAGAGAGAGGAGAGAGAGAGAGAGAGGAAGGAGTAGAGAGAGAAAGAAGGAGAGAGAGAGAGAGAGGAGAGAGAGGAGAGAGAGAGAGAGAGAGAGAGAGAGAGAGAGAGAAGAGGAGAGAGAGAGAGAGATGTGGAGAGTGAGAGACACATACACAGACAAACAGACTGACATATAGAGAGGAGAGATGAGAATGAGTGATGAATGATGAGAGAGAAAAGAAAGAACAAAGAGAGAAGAGAGAGAGAAATAGAGACAGAGACAGAAAGGAAGAGAGAGAGAGAGAAACAGAGACAGAGAAGAAACAGAAAGGAAGAGAGAGAGAGAGAGAGAAAAACAGAGACAGAGACAGAAACAAAGAAAAGAGGAGAGAGACAGAACAGAAACAGAGAGGAAGAAAAATCAACAAAGACACACAAAGAGAGAGAGAGAAAAAAGCCACAAGAAAGAAACGAAGAGAGAACCAGGGCAAGAGCAAGATAATTGAATAAGCCCAGACCGATCGCGAACGAGTGATTAGCAGATATTAGCGAATCGAGAGACCCTGGTGATCTTAATTACGAAATGGGGGATAAAAGATAAGAGCAATTATGGACATATTTCAGCGGATTATCAACAGCGGGTTGAAGATGGCGGAGATGAGGCGGATGTTGCAAAAGGCGAGGACTTTATTTGGTGGATATTGCTTCACTTTGTTGCAGGGGGGGGGGGGGGAATCTCCTCCCGCTCTCTCTCTCTCTCTCTCTCTCTCTCTCTCTCTCTCCATTCTCTCTCTCTCTCTCTCTCTCCTCTCTCTCTCTCTCTCTTTTATGTATAT